GGCAGGGTGGTCAAACTAGCCAATCATAGCATCAGAACTCTAAGCACCTGAGAGAGAGTGGGCACCTCCCAGAACATTATATTGTGCCCCCCCCAACAGAAATACTCCACTTGGGTAACATTTACAATCAGCTCCTCAGTTGCTCATTCCACCACTGAGTTTACAATGACTAATGGGTAGAAAAGCTATACTAAGTAATACTACACTGCACTCTATACCAGGTACCATGCCAAACAGTTTTTATACATTTATGCTTCCCTATAATTTTTAGTAATTATTTATTTGGAAATAATCTCAAGCTTACAGAAAAGTTACAAAAATAAAAATAGTTACAAAGAACACTCATAATATCCTTCACTCAAATGCACCTATAGAGGACCTTTTACTCCATTTTTTGCTCTTTTGTGTGTGAGTAAATATTTTTTTTCTGAACCATTTTGAGGGTAAGATATACATTATGGCCTTTTACCCCTAAATAATTCAGTGTATATTTTCCAAGAATAGAGATTTTTTTTGTGTGTAACTTTAGTGTAGTTCATTTAACATTAGACAAACGTAGCAATCTACTATTTGTATTCTAATTTTGTCAGTTGACCCAATAATGTTTTACAGCATTTTTTTTTTCTCCTACAGAACAGGATTCTGTCTGGGCTCAGTTACTGCATTTAGTTGTAATGTGCCTTTAACATCCTTTAATCTAGAGAATTTCCATAGTCTTTCTTTTCTTTTATGACATTGGCATTTTCGAGAGACCATTTTCACCCCACCACCACACCGCCTGCACCCCTGCACTTTTTGGTTTTCCTCATTTTGGGCTTGTGTTTCCTTATGATTAAATTCAGGTTATGCTTTCTTGGTTGAAATCTGCATAGGTGATATGTTCTTAAGTTGTTACATCTGGAGGTGCATGATGCCCATTTGTCTCTCATTGGCGAGGTTAATTTTGATCACCTAGTCAATGTGTTGTCCAGTCTTTTCACTCTGTAATTTCTGGGTATTTTTTCCCCCTCTTGCATCTAAGAGGTCTTTGGGGAGACACTTCTAAGATTATGCAAATATCCTTCTCTTCATCAAAAATTTCCCTTAGATGTAGCAATCATTGATGAGTCTTGCCTGCACCGGTCTTTAATGTGGTGGCTACAAAATTAAGATCTTTTTTCCAACTCTAGCCTTCCCTGCACATTTACTAGTTGATATTTGGCATGTTATTATAATCAAGAGTCTTCTACTCATGTTTGTTCATCTATCTGTCCATCTGTCTATTCATGCATGCATGTATTATTTGTATGGACTCATGAATTGCTATTTTTCAATACTTTATAATTCACTACTATACTGAATACTTAATTCGTGCTCAAATTGTCCCAGATTCAGTCAGTGTGAGCTGCTTAAGCTGGTTCTTATGTCTTTGTGACATGCTTTTGAATACTTTCATATCCTACCATAACAAGATATTCCAGTCTCATACATGCCTTGCTACAGTACCAGGGTCAGCCATTTCTTGAAGATCCCTGGTTTCTTTTAGTGGGAATGATATTCAATACTAAGATCTGAGCACTAGGCTTCCTAGCAGTTTTTAAAGTAGGTGGTATTAATCCAATTTTACATAACAAAAAAACAGAGCTCAAAAAGAGAGAGATAAGTAATGTACAACCAATGAATAGGGAAAACAGGATTTAAATACAGGCTTCTCTATCTTTAAACCAAACTCATTGCCATGAGTCAGTTCTGACTCATAGTGACTCTTCAGGACAATAGTACTGCCCCATAAGGTTCAAACCATCGACATTTTGGTTAGCAGCCTAAACACTACGCTACCAGAACACATCATGCATATAGCCTTCTTTTGGGTACATTGTGGTCTTGAATCATGTCATATGGCTTTCTTTTCTTTATTTTTTGATAGTGCTCTGTCAAATTGATATAAAAGTTTGCTGTCATTTAATTTTCGCAGATAAGAAAAAAATCCTTGAAATTAAAGATTCATGCTGTGGACACTGCTTCCAAGAACTTGAAAAGGCAAAACAAGAATGTCAAGATCTGAAAAGAAAACTGGAGAAATGTTGTAGGCACCTTCAGCATTTAGAAAGGAAGCACAAAGCTGTAGTGGAAAAAATCGGAGGTTAGCATTTCAGGTAGCGCTGCTACCAGTTTAAGTCTCTTTGATCCTGTTGAAGTGTTCAAATGTGGCATGTCAGATAATGTAGTTACTGATTCTCTTTTGGGATTAATGTCAACTGATTTGGACCGTATTTTTACTAATTGAGTGATTATACTGATCTCAAAAGAGGGAATTTTCAGCTCTGATTAAAAAGTCGCATTCCTTTCTTCTCTCTTGATTGACTAGGTGTTGAGGGCCTGGTAAGTGTGAAGCAGTGTTCTAGGCACTGGAGATACAGCAGTAAATAAAACAGACAAAATTCCAGTCCTCATGAAGATGTAGAAGACTGTGTTTCTTTCCTTCAAGAAACTTACTGTCAAGTTAAGGGAGCAAACAAGAGTTTAATAAATGCAGTATTGAGTGCTACTGGCAGTATGTTTATATAATTTAAAAGAAAGGGTGTTAACTCTTCCTCATATTAGAGTTAAGCCTTCAAAGACAGCTGTTGGCCAACGAGAAGAATAACATTCTGGGCAGAAGGAAAGGCATGAGCAAAGGCTTATGAGTCTGGTCTGGCCTCTATCCAGTTCCTTCTTCACAGTGCTGTCAGAGTGATCTATCTAAAAGTGACCTCTAATGCCATGTCCTATTGCCCTTCTAAAAAGTCAGCTATTTGCTTATGAGGCTGCTCCCTCTTACCTTTTGTTATTCACTTATGCTCCATGCTCTTTTTGCTCCTGACATTTGGAATATTGCAGATTCCTTAACTGGTGAGGTTTTCTTTTGCCTATGACCTTGCGTGTGATATTGTCCCTTTGTCCTACACTTTACCTTCTTGTTTCCTTTCTACATAACTCATCCTCACTCTGAGGATTCAACTCAGAACATACCTCATCTGCAGAGCCCTCCTTGACTTCCCTCAGTCTGGGCTGTTCCTGTGTGGCCTCATAGCACTTGGCTCTCCCTCTATTATACTACTTACTACTTCTCTGTATTTTAATCATCTTAGCTCTTTACCTGTTAACCTCTCCAGACTAAGTTCCCTGAAGGTAAGGGATTATGTGTTACCCTGTTTATCCTTGTAATGAAAGACTGAATCTAAGAGTTCCAAATAATCGCATCATTCAGAAAAGACCAGGTGAATAGGCTCCCTTTTTTCCTGTCTTCACCTCTGTCTCTTGCCTGGAGAATGGCAGTCACCTCCTGAGTCTCTCAGTTTCCAGTCTTGCCCCTCCAATCCCATTTTCCATGGGCAGCTAGAACAGCCTTTTAGAAAAGTAAATTGAATCATGACATTCTCTTGTTTTTAAAGCCCTTCAATGGTTTGCTGTGGCCCTCAGTATGAATTTCAGGCACTTAATTTAATATGGCTTAAAAAAAGTCCTTCATGATCCAGCACCTGCTAGCTCCTCCAAACTCATCGTTCCCCCAGCCCTCTTACCCTCTCAGTAGAGCCATAAGCGTGGATTTAATTGTCTCTTATTTCTGGGCCTCTTATCATATGCTCCCTTTATCTTTTCTTTCTCTCCTGATCTCATTGCCTGGCTAACTCCTACTCATATTTTACCTAATACACTATTTCCTCAGGAGGCATTCCTCACCACCCAACACTTGCTTAGGTCCTCCCCTTAGATTATTCTCCATAAGTTCTATATGGAGCTATTATTTATAATAATACATCCTATATAGCTTTTTATAACTTTCATCATCCTTATAATTATTTATTGTCTGTATTCCCCTTAGACTTTGTGGCAGCAACAATCAAATCCTGTCTGAGCACTTAGCATACATAGTTCCTGGCATCATGGCACACACTCAATGAATATTGTTGACCAAGGCACAAGAAAGAGTTTTTCAAATTTTGAGACACCATTTTTCACTACTACAAATACCTTTGTGACTATTTAGCTTTTTAGTAGAGCCAGGAGAGTAAATGAGATTTTTGTCCAAAGTGTAGATGAATATAGCTACAGCAGTATGTTATTGTAAGACTTGATGGAAACTAAGAAATTTATGCTGTATAATAAAATGATGACAGCAGTCTGTGATTATTATTTATAAATATTTATACCATACATTGTGATCATGAAATAGTTATTCTATATGGTGCTTTTGAAGCTGGTAGCTTCTGTAATTCATAGACTTGGGCATAATCTATTGTTTTGAAGGAAGTGCCTTTCAAGACAATGGGCTTATGAAAGGGGTCAAGTTCAGAATGTAAGTCATTTGATAGTTTGATTTGAATATTGTCTTAATGTGCATCTATTAGGTGATAGTATATCTTTGTTATTGTGGTGGTTTTGTTTCTGAAATTTCATTTTTCACGGTGTTGGTAGCATTTATTGAAAAATGCAGCATAAAAGCAAGTGTTTTGAAAATATACAAGCTATATGAATCACCAGGGGGAACAGAGTGATTCATTCCCTTCATCCTAACTTATAGGGTGTGTTGAAGAGATAGCACAGTAGGTAACATGGGGTACCATGTGCACATTTATTGAGCAAGGATATAGCCAGGCCTTGTATAAGGTGTTGTGCATTTTTTACTTATTTCTATTATAATTTCTGTAGATAATACTATACCTATTTTATACTTGGGGAAAAGAAAACTGAAGTTCAGAAAGGTTAACTAATGTGCCTCCTACGCTTATCTAACTGGTAAGAAGCTGAGCTAGGATTTACATGTAATTACATCTCTTTGACTCTGAAATGTATGCTTTTTTTCCTGTACCACATGGACTCCTGAGTGAATTTTCTTTTTATTTCATGCTTAAGTGCCGTTCAAGGATTATTTGTGTGAGCCTGGACTATACACCAGATTCCACGGGGACATGGTATTAGAAAACCTGTGTCTACAAAGGTTCACTCTAGCTAGGAAACAAAACACATGCACATGAAATAATTGGAAACCCATTCTCTGGTGATGTGTAACCCAAAGCAAGATGAAAATGGAGCACAGAGTTTACATGCTGAGAAAACAGAATAAGGGAGTAGTCTGACCATGATGTGGGTCATCAGAGAGTGAATAACACAGATGAACAATGGAAATTGCATAGTCTCCTCCATGAGCATTTGCATTGGGAACCCAGGGGAAGGAAGACTGGGGAAAAAGGGTGATTAACTGTTCATATACTTGTAAACTTTATTTTACAGAAGAGAATAATAAAGTTGTTGAAGAATTAATAGATGAAAACAATGACATGAAGAATAAATTGGAAGAACTGAAAAAACTTAGTAAAACACCACCAAGGTAGATTTTCACCATTAAAAAGAACTAAACGCTTATGTCTTAAGTATTATTTAAAAAAAAAAAAAATTTAATATCATCTATTGTTATTGGTATACAGCAAAAAAGGAAAAAAATTCCCAAAGTCTTACCTCCAGAAGATACCCTCTGCTAACCTGTTGTTTCATATCACTTCTATCACACACACACATCATTTGTACATATTTTAAAAATTGCAATTATTACATAAACTATTGTCATCTTTTATTAACTTAATCAATTAGTACAAACATTTTCCCATGTCATTAGATATTCTCCTACAATATGCTTTTCAGTAGCAGCAAAGATTTTAATCATGTGAATTTACCATGATTTATTTAAGCAGTCATAACATTTAAGTTGCTTCCATTTTCCTTTATTTTAAATAACTATAGTGAAGATGCTTGTATATGAAATTTTTAGCTCGTCTCTATTATTAAATTATTGGAATATATGAACACATACATATTTTTTCAAAGGATGTTTTTCACTTACAATCTCTGTCTTTGGAATCTTTGATTTGTTTTTAGGTCATTGTCAGAAGGGGCTGTTGAAAATTCTTGCATGCTCTGCAATGGGAAGGCCTTGGAAGAACTTCGTGGGCAATACATTAAAGCTGTAAAAAAAATTAAGCGTAAGTCCCTAAAGACATTCCAAAGAGTTTAAGGATGGTTTGGGCTTTTTGTTGTTGTTGTTGTTGTTCTGTGTAAACTCAGGGATCACTGTTGTTATGTGCCATTGAGTTGGACCTGACTCATAGCAACCCCTCCTTGGGTGGCTGAGGCAGTTATCACTATGGAAGTACATTGCCCAACCTTCCTTCCGAGGGGTGGCAGCATGCTTGGTGGTATAGTGGTTAAGGCCTCAGCTACTCGTGGTTCATACCTCAAGCCACTCCACGAAAGAAGGATGGCCAGTCTGCTTCCATAAAGATACAGTCTTAGAAATACTATGAAACAGTTCTTCTCTGTCCTATAAGGTCGCTATGACTTGGAATCAACCCAGTGGCACACAACAGTAACAGTAATTTTGGGGAATTTGCCAATCTACCTTGTTCTGGGATCTTGCCTGCTCTTAGATGAGATTGTTGATACCTTTTCTAAATGATGCAGTGATATTATTTTACCCAAGTTATATCTTTGGAAGTGACCTAAGGGTAAAATTATTTCTATATTATTGATTATTCCTTTATTGATACCAGTGCTAAACTAAATAACTTTTAGCAAAGAAAATATCACATGAGGTTTAAATTAGCAATTATCACTTTCTACCATAAACTTTTTGGAGTCCCTGTCCTGGGTGGTGTAAAAGGTTAATGTTCTCAGTTGTTAACCAAAAGGTTAGAAGTTCAGGTTCCACCCAGAGGTACCTCTGAAGAAAGGACTGATGGTCTACGTCTGAAAAAAATCAGCTGTTGGAAACTCTGCAGAGCACATTCTACTCTGACACACATAGGGTCACCATGAGTCAGTCAACTCCATGGCAGCTGGCAATAGGTTACCATAAACGTTTAAGGACTGCAGAAATGATTCTTGTTAGGAGTTGTTCTGTTGCCATTATTTTGATGATAGAGTAAATCATAGATGTACATTTGTTTATCAAATCCTTTGCAGTACATGGTGATGCCAGCATATCTTGCAGAGCATTTCCTTGGTTTTTGTCCAGTAGAATGCCTCTTGGCTTTTAATATCAAAATTGTATAGAATGTATGTATCTTTTACTAAAATGGCCAGTGTTTATATAGTAAAAGCTATGTAGAAACTAGTTTTCCAGTTAGTATTTTTACATTTCAAAAAAAAACAAAACAAAACAAAACTCATTACCATCAAATTGATTCTGACTCATAGCATCCCCCATTGGGTTTCCAAGGCTGTAAATCTTTATAGAAGTAGATTGCCTCATCTTCTTCCCACGGAACAGCTAGTGGGTTTGAACCACCAACCTTTTGGTTAGCAGCCAAATGCCCTACCCATTACACCATTTTGGGAAGAGGTTCTTGTTTTTAAGAGGGAAATTCCTCTATGAATTGGTATTCCTAATACAACAGGGGTGGTGAAATTCTAGATGTAGGATGTAGCCCTGGATTTAGTAGAATATGTGAGTTTCAACTACTGGCAGTCCTAATCAAAGCATGTTGACTTAAAAAAGAGAACCTGAAAGCCGTGAATTATGTTTAAATGTAAATTTATTAAATTTAAAATTTAATCAATCTCCTTACCTCCCTGCCTTAGTATTTTGTACATATCTTTCATAGATTATAATATGTTTTGTTCGATACGCAGTAAGTGCTGCTGAATGAGCTGAGTAAGTGATGACACACGGATTTTTCAGAGCACAATTGAACAGCAGAATATAAGTCTCCAGCTCATAGCGCTTCCTTTTCTTCTACCTTTTAGTATCTGCTTTGCTGTTCCTTCCTGCCACACCCTTTCTTTTATATATCTTTTTTCTCTTCTCATAACTGGCCATGATATCTAGATGAAATAGATGAGTTTCTGTGTCTCATTTTAGGTTTTTTCTTACCTGAGTGTTTTAGAACATGACAGAATTTCTGTAAGGAATGTACCCTGTTTCCTTAGCATATGTGGTTATCATCATTCCAAAAGGACTTATGGATGACTTCTTTTGAGTCTGTTAAAATGGTGATCTGAAATATTTCTGTTTTAATGATTGTGAGGTTCTGTATTACTTAAATTATACTTCTAATCACTTCATCTCCCCAAAATGGATGTGAAGTCAGCCTTTCCTGTTTCTAAAATACTGTTAATAACCACACATTCTGTGGGGCTTTCCCCCCGATCTCCTGTAGGTGATATGCTCCACTACATCCAGGAGAGTAAGGAAAGAGCTGCTGAAATGGTGGAAGCAGAGGTGTTACGGGAACGTCAAGAAACCGCCCGAAAGATGCGCAAATATTACTTGATTTGCCTCCAACAGATTTTGCAGGATAATGGAAAACAGGAAGGGTAAGTTTAGTCTGAACAGTGTGTCCTGAGAGTACCAGGACAGCATGTTGTCATTTTTTATCCATTTTCCTTAACTACGAAATTAACTGTTTCTATGTGATCAGCCATTGGGGGTTAAAAGAAACTTAGAAGGGCTGTGTTAGTCTAAATGTTGGCAGAGCTAATAGAAAAACAGAAATCCTGGGGCTACGAAAACTCATTTTTTCCCTTTAAACTCTATTAATATTCTGGAATTCCCCACAGGGCCGATAAAAAGATTATGAATGCTGCTAGCAAACTTGCTACAATGGCAAAATTGCTGGAAACACCTATTTCTAAAAGAACCCAGAGCAAAACTACAGAGTCTGGTATGTCAAAATGAGTCACTTAAATTATTTTTTTCTCCCTTTTTTGTCATTTCTCTCTTTTCAGTATGAAAAAGACCAAAGAAGGTAAGGAGTTAATTTATAAAGTTGCATTTTAACTAAAATGGAATGTTTACAAAAAGAATATAGACTTCCCAGTTCAAGCAGGCAAGCTGAGCATTCCCACCAGCTTCCTGTTCCTGCTGATCCCTAGAAGTGATAGAAAATATCTTAAAAAAAATAAAGAAAGAGAAAAAGATCCGTAACTCTTCAAAAATCAAAAATATGCAGTTGGTAGAGCAGAAGCTACGAGAAAGCCTGAAAGAAAGAAGATAGTATATGATTGAAGAGGAAAACTTCACTTCAAAACCATCAGAAGACAGGTTGAAATAGGAGCAATATCAAAATTTTTCCATGTCTGAAGGTAGAATGTTCTAGGAGAAGTAGGGTACCAAGAAAATACTATTGGGCTGATTAGTCGGTATTCTACAGTGACAGCAAGCAGGTAGAACCACTTTCTCTTTATTTCTTCTTCTCTCTTCCCTCCCCAACCTTAGCAATGGGCTGGGCAACAATATCAGGGACGAAGAGTGTGGGAACAGGGCAGGTGCTGCAGGTGGCCAGCCACACCAGGGTGGAAGTGGGAGCCCACATGGCTAGAGTGCCCTGCAGCTCAGCCCTGTCTACCCCACACCTACCTCCTTTAAACAAGCAGCACAAACAAATACAGCGTTCTAGAAAAATCTAAAAGATAAGGATTCAGTCAAGAATCACCACCTACAAGCTAAACAATTAGGTATGTCTAAATGGAGAATGTATCCAAGATCATATACAGGGTTGGCAGACAATGGGCCTATAAGTTCATGTGAATGATCAGAATTCCCAGGTGTATAGTAGAGCTGACAAGGGGCAAGGTTATGGTCATTACTTGGTCACAGCCAGCTACCCAGAGGGACCGAGTAGTTGATCCTGCAGGCTTGGGACCATAGTCGCAGGGGACATCAAACTCAATTGGCATAACATACTATACAAAACATTGTTCCACCTACTACTTTGGCGAGTAGCGACTGGGACCTTAAAAGCTAGGAAGCTGCCATCTAGATGCAACAACGGGTCTCTCCTCGTCAAGAAGAAAGAAGAAAACCAAAATGAATGGAAACAATCAGTCCTAGCGACTGGTACACCATCCGATCTGCAACCTATACAACTATGAGACCAGAAGAACTAGATGGTGCCCAGCTACCACTGCCATCTACTTGGAAGGGATGTAGGAGATCCTGCATAAAGAGGGAGAACAATGAGGTACAAAACTCAAAATCATTTGGAGGCAAAAAAAAAAAAAAGAAGGTGGGGACCAGGTTTGCTGGTCCAATGGAGCCTGGTGTAACCACTGAGACTATGGCCCCTAGCTGCCCTTCAGGTCTGGAATTGAACCCACAACTGTGGTTTCCAGCCAAACAAAGTACAGGCATGTGAATTAAACATTTACCTCAAGTAGACACACGCCCTGGAGAGAACAATCATGGGAGAAGGAAGGGCTGCTTATGCACAGGGAGATAGCTCAGGGTGCAGAAGAGTATGAAGGGATGGACACTGGGAGGAGGTAACTATGGGGAGGAGGTGGGAGGGGAGCTGCTGCATTGTAAATTTTGGTCAATGACATGAGACAAAGTATATGTGAACTGCTGTATGAAAAGTGAATTTACTCTGTAAATCTTCACCCAAATCCTAATAAAAAAAAAAAAAAGAATCACCACCTATTTGTCGAAAGCTAGCACCATGAAAAAAGGCACCAAACTCAAAATAAAACAAACCAAACAAACAGAGAAAACAACAGTAGAACTTATACGTAAGGAGATAGAGTTAACAGAACAAAATAACAGGACTTAAGAAGATTAGAAAAATATATTATTCCCAGAGACATGTGAGAGGATATTATAGAGGAGACAAAAAATATAGTAAGATTTTTACCAAATTCAAGGACATATAAATATTGATAATTCTAAGCACTGCTACAAGAATACAGATTTAAGTATGTGTGTTAAAATTTAAGGAAAGCCAATGGAGAAATAAAAATGGAATATATTAAACTGGCAGGTTAAAAAGTTGGAAGGAAGCATTTTCAATCTTAACAAAATCAGGAAAGAAGGAAAGAAATAACTAGAAAGCATGGGTTAATAGGAAACAATAATAGGTTGAAAGAGATCATCAATCACAGTAAATGGGTTAATGTCACTTAATTAGAAATGATGACTTTCAAATAGTTTTAAAAAATTCAGATATAAGCTATTTTTACAAGAAAAACATCTATAATTCTGTAAAAATTACCTCTTCTAACTTCATGAGAAAGAGAGAGAGTCTCCTTCAGCATCAGCCCAAGGCTGATTCCTCTGAGGCAGAGGTCAGACATGCCTCCACCCTCCAACCTTTTTACCAATTCTGACACCAGCTATACCCTCCATGGCACTCTCTCAAACTCCCATTGGGTTTTGTAATTCATTGTAGTGGCCACACAGACCATACTCACCATCATGGGGTTTATTAGAGAAGTAACAAGTTACAAGTCAGGATCAGAAACAACTCAGGATGCAATTCTTTGATCAAGACAGCCTCTTCTCAGCTGTGTTCACAGCTCTTGGCCTGGCCTCTACCCTTCTCAGGCAAGTGTTACAAAGAAAGCTCTTTTAGCTCTGCCAGTAAGTGCCCAGAGGCACCCTATCCCACCAGCAAGTGCTGGCCTGAAGGTGCTAAGCTTTCGTGCTTCACGGGCTGGGAAGCCTGTTGTGCTGTCTCATAGTGGTCTCCTGGTTCTGCTGCTTCTCTGCCGTGCTTTCTCTGCCGCCGTTTTCGCCATCTCTTGCTGTATCTGGTGTAACCACTTTCTGTCTCCCAGATCTAGGAGGTTCCCAGGGTCCAGTGGATGTACTCCACTCCCATCTCTTCTTGGTGGTGGTCAGGTCCACCCTTTCCACTTCTGGGGTGGCTCATTTTAAGCTTTGCAGGATGGCAAAATGGACCAACCCCTACCTCAAGGTTCCATATATTTTATTTGCATGGTCCTACTCCCACAAGGGTGTCATGCACCTTATTTACATTGTTACCAAGCTGTCCAATCCCCTTGGTGGGCCACAGGCACCTCACATTTGTGGAGTCATACCTAGTCATTAGATGGGAGTTACAGAGACTATAGCTTGATGGGCCATATTAAGTAATTCACTGCACTGTAAATTTAAAATAAAGGGATGAGAATGATACACTAAGCAAATGCATTATAAATACTGGATTGATTATAGATTTAAATGCAATATTATTACTGGGTAAATTAGAGTTGGCTTTAAAAGGGGCAAAGTTGATAGCTCATACAATAAAGGAACTGTCCCCAAACAAGCTATAAATTGTGTTCTTCTATACGTAACAACATGGCTTTAGAATATATAAAGCAAAATTTGATAAAAATACATGTAAAACTTTGGTAAATTCCCAGTTAAACAGGGAAATTTTAACACATCTGTGGATAAATGGATTTTGGAACTGATGAAAAGTTTGAAGCAGGGAGATTGTTCAGGAATCCAAGACTCTGATGTGACTTCTATGTGAACGTTCCTCACATAGAAGCAGAAAGACAGTTTGTGTAAATTTTGGAACGGTGTACGTTGTGAAGGTGATGTGAACCCTGGGTATAAATGGGCAGTGACATATGTCAAGAAAGGGGCTGTCTAGATGTGGTGAGTGTCCCAAGCAGAAGCAAACTCTTCAGGAACTCTAAGGATCAAGGTTCACTACTCTCAGACATGAGGCCTCTGATTCTGTGCTGTCTGGTTGCTTTGCCTCTGACATTATTTAATGTTGTTAGGTGATTAAATAAGAAGCTCTAGTTTTATAGAGGGTGTGTGTGTGTGTGTGTGTGTGTAAGTGTAGGTGTTGAGCAGGCAGGATTCTTTCAGCTAATAGACAGTTGATCAGAAACTCCTTCAGAACAGAATTGGAAACAGTTGGTTTTGAAACCCTGTAACATCTTTTACAGAAAATGACAAAGCAGGAGGGTAAAATAATATCGCACTTCAAAAACAAAATTACCCAGCTGATCTATTAAAGTCAGATTTAAAAAAACTCAGCAGTACAGTGAAATCTTCAGTGTATTGGCAGCCTTTAAGAAAATGTACCCCTCCCCTAGCTAGCCAACAAGACAGTGGCTTTGATAGCCCACTTGTGAATCTAGACTAATTGTTGTACAGTATTTGAGAAGAATCATTAATATATTGACAAGAACAGTGAAGGGGAGGCATTTACAATGGATTTGTATAAAGTAATATTTTTAAATGTCCAACACTGATATATATTTTTTGGGGAATGATTAAAAATATATGATTCTTTGAGAATACATAAAAACAAATATTTTTACTTCTCTGCACATGTTAATTTTCTCCTAATTTTATGTTCCCTTGTACATAGTAGCACTGCCTCTGACTTCAGAGATGCTGATTGGAGTTAAAAAATCAAAAACGGATGATGTGAATCAGAATATACCCAGCTACCTTGAAAGCAAATCAAACGGTATGAAAACGACCCCCAGAAGTATGTGCGAACAAGTCCCTAAGAAGAAGCCTGCCTGTAACCTAGGAAGGCGATTAGAGGACGCTGAGCATGGCGACACAAGGCTTGTGGGTTCCAAAGGGTCCCATTCAGACTCTCAGTTTGGGGATAACAGCTGCAGTAAGCTAGATATTTTACCAGGGAATGTTTCTCCTGAGTTTGTTCCTTGTGAAGGTGAAAGAGGCTTTGTTCTGCACAATAAGAAAGATCTACTCAGTGATACTGGCTCTGAATCACTTCTGCATTCGGCTGCATACCCCTTTCTTGAAACTTTGAGAAATAAACCCTCACCTAGATGTACCCCAGGTCTTTCTGAATCTCGATCCACACATACAACCTTTCAAGGGCTTAATGAAAGACCTGGTTTAAAAGTTTATAAATGCAGTCCACTGATGGAAAGTGAAAATGCCACATCTGAGAAAAGTCAAGGGTTGAGTATTCAGGAAACTCCAGTTAAGGATGGAGGGGATCTTAGTGTCTCTTTAGACTGGAGTTCCAACAGTGCAACTTTACCCTGTAACAGTCATGAAGTGTCATTTTCACATAATGGACCACACGGAACTCTGGATTCACCAACTGAATCTGTTAAATTCAAACAGTTTTCAGCAACTAATTGCCTTTCAGCTCTAGAGAAAAGTGATAGGATTTGTAAACTGATGAACTGTCAGAGTGATCATGCTCCAGACCTGTCAGAAGAAACCATGTATTTGCAGCCAGAGAAGATCAGTATGACTCTTGGACACCCACCTCATCATACAGCTGATCTATTAAAGTCAGATTTAAAAAAACTCAGCAGTACAGTGCCATCAACTTCAGTGTATCAGCAGCCTTCAAGAAAATTAATCCCTCCCCTAGCTAGCCAACAAGACAGTGGCTTTGATAGTCCACTTGTCAATCTAGACTAGTTGTTGTACAGTATTTGAGAAGAATCATTAATATGTTGACAAGAACAGTGGAAGGGAAGGCTTCATACTGAAAAAGTTGTAAGCTCTGCCTATTCTGAGATGTTTTAATAGTATCAATTACATGAGTAAAGTATTCTCATAAAATTACTGGAGATATTTATGTTGCCTTAATCTTCCAGAGGCCTGATGGTATATGTGTAATCTGCTTCTTCGTGTGGTGCTTATATTTGGTTGCTAAACCTCCTATTTTTATACTTATAAATTTGCTCACTGTGCAGTGTTAAATTATTGCGTATTTAAATAAATTTGCATTGTCTGTAGAATTGTTATGAATTATTTTGTAATCCATAGTGCATGAATGTTATGTTGGCATCATGTTTGAAATTCATCCAGAAAAAAATACAAACTTTTGATTATTTGCATGTATGATCAGTAAAATTTAATTTTTGAAATTAGCCATGTTTAATGAGGCTATAGACTTTTCCTGGCAGTAATATTGCTTTTAAAAAAATTAAAATAACAAACTTTGTCATGTATCAAAAACTTTTTATACTATTAGATTTTTACATTTATTTATAGTACAGAATTAATTGTGGCTGCCTATCTTAATTCTAGGGGCTCTGGTGGCGTAGTGCCTAAGGCACTTGACTGCTAACCAGAAAGCTGGCAGTTCAAACCCACCAGCTACTCCTCGGGAGGAAGGTTGGGCAATCTTTTTCCATAGTGATACTGCCTCGGAAACCCAAGGAGGGGTCACTATGAGTCAGGTTCAGGTCCTACTCGATGGCACACAACAACATCTTAATTCTATAGCTTGTAAATTTATAAATTCTAAAGACCACTTAACAACCCATTGCCGTAATCAATTTTGACTTATAGCAACCCTGTAGGACAGATTCGAACTCCCCCATGGGGTTTCCAAGGCTGTAAATCCTTACAGAAACAGACTGCCACATCTTTCTCCCATGGAGTGGCTGATTGGTTCGAACTGCCAACCTTTCGGTTAGCAGCTGAGTGCTTAACCACTATGCAACCGGGGCACTGTGGTATATGCAAGTACTACCTGAAAACAGTTACCGTTTTTCTTATCTTTCACCCCCACTTGTATTATGGACTGTATTTTGAGGGTGATTCAGTATATTTTTCTACCTAGAACCAGGCTAACGTGGGTAGTTGTGGGCAGCAACACGCATCCTCCACCTACTAATAACCAACTCTAAAAGTAAGAACGTAGAGGGGAAACTGCTGAGACTTGGAAAGCTCCATCACCTTAACTGGCGACCAGATTTAGATAAGCCTAAATGTAGCACTGGCAGCATAGTGCCTAAGGCACTTGACTGCTAACCAGAAGGCTGGCGGTTCAAACCCACCAGCCACTCCTCGGAAGGAAGATGGAGCAATCTACTTCCGTAGTGAAACAAACCCAAGGAGGGGTCGCTGAGTCGGGTCCAACTTGACGGCATATAACAACGACAACAGATGTAGCACAGGGATTTTGGTCTTGCATTGACATGCAGCTAGAAAACAAACCAAACCATCTTCAGTGTCTTTACTTGTATTCCTAAAGATACAGTGTCCCTTCTCCAACATCTTGGCTGTAATTGCTCACATTAAGAAAACTCCTAAACCAGCAGAAGTTATGCCCCACATGGATCTGGGTGGTGCTTGAACATTTTGTACCCTCAGTATAACTCAGCTGAGAATCTAGCTCTTTGTTCACCCACATTTCTGTCTGTGTTTATATCCATGCAGGTATTTAAATCCTCAGAATCATGGTTGAAACTAGAAATGTTTTTGCTTTCTGCTCCTATTGTGGTACTAGTGTCTGGTAATCTGTTTTGATATCCATAATCTTAATAGGATTAGGTTCCTTTGTGTTATACCCCCTTCCCACCACTAAAACCAAAAAAACCAAACTCCCTGTGTAGTAGCTAGTATCTTCATTTTAAAGATAGGGCAACAGGCCCACAGAGGTCAAGTAATTGACCCAAGGCCACATAATAAATCAAGAAGCACATCTCACAAGGTCTAAGAGTGGATGAAAGGAAGAAGGAAATAAAGCTAGGTAGGAAAATTAGCCTAGATCATGAAGGGTCTTGAATACCAAAGCCGAAGAACTAGAAATTTGGTTCACTGAAAATGGAGTGTTGAAGGTTTGGGAGCATGATTTAAAGTCAGACCACACTATCAGAAGGGTTGGAGGAACAAAGAAAGCGGACAAGCCAGATGGGCAACATCCTAGTGCACTGAAGCGGGAATGAGTCTGGAGCCAGAATAGAAGTAGTAGGTGACAAGGTTGAGAATATTACTTAATAAATGTTGGTAAAGTAGAGGGGTCAGTGAGAAAGAGGAAGCCCCTCAATAAGATGGATTGACACAGCAGCAGCATCGATGGGCTCAAGAATAGCAAATACTGTGAGGATGGCACAGGACCGCATGCTGTTTCATTCTGTTGTAAATAGAGTGGTTATGAGTCAGAGCCTACTCAACAGCACCTAACAACAACATGAGCTGCCTGGTTGAATGCAGGGTCAATGGAGAGGGATGTCCCAAAGGGGTTTAGAGCCTTAGTAACTGGGACAATTGTGCTCTCAATAGGCATTGAGAAGATTTGTGCTATCAACAGGTATTGAGAAATCAAGAAAAAATCAGGACATGATAAATTTAAGTGGCTGTGCCCTACTCTGAAAACTAAATGGCCAATCCTTGGTGAGGCACACAGTAATAATAAAAACTAACGCAGACACTAACTTGGAGACTAATGGTTATTTAATCCTCACAGCAGCCTTTTGAAGTAGGCTCCATATGGACACTTTATAGATGGATAAAACTGAGGCTTAGAGGGGTTAAGTAATTTGTTCAACACAGCTAACACATGGTAGAGCCAGTCACACCCAGGTCTGTTTCTTTTTTTTTTTAATTTTCAAACAGTTTTAGATTTACAAAGAAGTTGCACAAATAGTACAGAGTTCCCTTTATGATTCCCCCTCTTACTAACGCCTCACATCATTAGGGTATATTTGTCACAACTAAAACCAACATTTAATATAGGTCTTTCCCCATCCCCCACCTCAAGTACAGAGCTCATGCTCTTAATCCCTATGCTATATTTGGCTTGGCTTACAGGTAAGCTGGAATTCATTTTAAAGGGGGAGTTCTTTCCTGTTTCCTCTCCTTCCAGTTCTCCCTCATGCTCCCAAGAAGGAAAATGAGTTGAGCAGGCTTCTCCAGATGTGAAATCAGTTTAACTTGCGTTGTTGGTAGGATGTAGGAAAAAAAGTAGATCTTACTCTTTAGTGGAGATTTATGGAATGGGATATTATATAGAGGTTATGTTGCAACTAGAAACTTAACAACTGGAAAACCTATAATACAATAGAATTATCTTTTGTAATTTTAAAATTCAATCAATAATGGTTCATCCTAAAAGAAAAGAAGACACTTAGAAATTTCTTAGAATATGCCATTCTGAAGCCTCTTAATTTATAACCACTTTTTCCCTTAAGGACCACAACAGGAAACTAATTAGAAATCAAAATGGTAAAATGTCATTAAACAGAAACTATTTTCTAAAGTAACAGATGGTATGACTTCTTCCTTAAAGTTCAGAAATTATATGGAAGCTTAGAGGTCAAATTAAATCTTGTGTTCTTAAAAATGTGTGGTGAGTAAATTGAGTAAAACTAACAAAAAAAAAGCCTTTTTGGAATTTTTTTAAAAATGTTTTTTGGGTTTGGTTCAGGCATGGTCTTTGAAAGATTGTTTTCTCACAACAAATTTTATTTCACAATTGTATTCATCATGTTGTGTACCTAATGTACTGGACACATTCTGCTTCCTATACTTCCCTGCCCTTTTTAATCGAGGAACACAGGTCATTTGTATAAGAAGACTGGGTGAATCCAGTTCATGAATGATCACAATAGCTCTATGGATGTCAGTGATTTTATTGGCTTTCAATGAGTTTTCCTGGAAGTTTCTTTAAATGTCCGGTTTCACATTTGCAAAATCTCCAAGATAGTTCATTGAACTTTGATTCTCAGATGATCAAGTGTTCACATATTAACGGTTTCTAACCACTGCACAAGAATTCCAATTTTTGTTTTAATTGGTTAAGAGTTCTTCAAAATTCTTATTCTTTAGGTTTCTTAAGCTTTGGCCTGTGTTTAAACACAGAATGCTTTTTGAGTACTTGCAGTGGACCTGTCATTAGGACTTTTGTCCTAATTTTTCCAATAATCTTTCAAAGTAGCCCTTAGTATCTTCATTTTACAGGTGAGAACGGAGGTTGATAGACTGAAGGGACTTATCCAAGGACTCATTATGTAGTTGAACAGGTATGGAAAGTAGCCAAGAGTTATTACAAGGTGGATATGACCATATGCTATGCTCACTAAGCTTTGTAAGCCAAAACACCAGTATGTCTCCAACATCAATATAGCATTTTTTCAAATATATGTAGGTGGTATTTGTTCTGGTTACCTAGTGCCACTCTGACAAGAATATACCACAAATGGATGGCCTTAACAAATAGGAGTTTATTCTCTTACAGTTTGGAGGCTTTAAGTCCAAGTTCAAAGTACCAGGTTCTAGGGGCTGGGTGAAAGCCCCTCAACCTTGGGTTGCAGCTCAGCTTCCTGCTCCTGGCCCACTGGAGCTGGAGGCTTTTCTTCACTCACCTTCTGGTTGCTTAGGCTGACAAACCCCAAGGTTGACAAGTTAAAAGGCACAGTCCCAACGTTACCAACCGACACAGCAGGCCATTACTTCAAGTCCATTCTAAGTCCCAAGGTCGGCAGAGCATAGCAGGCTGGTGAACAATGATACGGCTACATGCAGGGTCCAAGCGTGCCATAAACTAGAAACCATTTCCCAAGGCTTCTGCTTAATATACAGGAAGCAGACCACATACCCAAAGGCAGCTACTCAGCTGCTCCCAGTAGATTCCACCATGGAGTTGATTACCAGTCTCATCATGGGGAATACTACATCCAGCTGCC